GTTTACAAGAAAATGTAATACTCTTTTCCTTTTAATAAAAAAATATATAAATAAATAAAAATTCGGAAAAAAATATCTTTCTTTAACCATAAACTTTTTGAAAAAAATTAAAATACAAGAGTCCCTAATAAAAATGTATTATTTATATTAATGTAATTTATATTAATGTAACAATATATTTAACTAATTCTATTAGAATCAGGATAAGAGTAAGACGCTAAAAATCTGAAGTCACAATCATCTTATTCATAATTCATTATGTTTTACCAATAATTTGTCTGTTGTTTGTAACTGAACTATTATCACTTGTACTTAAAATGAAATAAATGAAATTAATATATATTACAATTTAACTAAAATGTATTTAAAATTTGGCGATAGTGAAAGGAGCTTTATCAATGGAGCTTTAGTAATGTGTAATTCAGTGCAGCTACAAAGAACAATGTATTTATATAATATACAATAAAGAATATATGAGTGTAAATATAACAAAATTATTTTCTTATAACTTTGCAATAAATTTTTAATGAGAGTACATTGTTAAATTAAATTAGAATTTTTCTCTAATAAATTAGATTTATTGTCTATATTTAGCCGTTTCACCACCACTCTAGCACCCTCCGTGATGTCTTGAATGAACTTCAACATTTCTATACGTACTTTGCCGCTTTTAATGCCGTCGAGATTGTTCAAAGATTTTTGTTTTTGCCTGAGACATCTCTTCCGAATGGCATTGTCTTTGTTGTGTACATGCATCAAGTCGTAATAAAACTCTTCTGTGATATCCTGTAATTTTCTTGGCGAATCATGTTTTGACGATGAACTTCGTAAAGTACGACGAGTTCCGTTCTTTCCTTTCGAATTCTTCTCATGTGTGTTTCTATTCATCTCCGAAGCGTCCTTATTGATCATTGCACAAGATTTCCCATTATTATTAATTTTTTTCGAATTAATTGTAATATTTACTATGTTGGAATCTGTACATTTATCTTCCAAGATATCCGTTTCGGAAATTGTGTCTTCTGTCAATGCCACAGATTGCATTTTCTGTTCATTCTGTTGAAACATTCCACTGCTGGTCGTTGAAGAAAACCTGCGTGCTCTGCATCTATGTCGCAAAACATTCTGCAAGGCTGGTGACATTTGTTCAACAGTAATAGATTCGTTCGAAACTATTCTCGGAGCATTTGCCTCTCGGCGAGATAATTCAATCGAATTAGAGTCCTCAGAAATTACAGAAACTGTGGACATCTTACTTGAATTTAACGAGTAATTTGAACTATATTGTTCTTCCATTGATTTATCATATTTGTCTATCTCTTCGATATTTCTGTTAATTAATGACGCTGTATTTTGCAGTTCATTTATTTTCTTAGACAGCGAAATCTCAGGAATATTATCCCAGGAATAATGTTCTTGTTTTTTAATTTCGATGTTATTTTTATAATTTGTATCTTGCTCATTATCACTGCCTTGCCATTCCATTAATTGTTCCCGATTTTCTATCGAGATTCTGCTTGCTGAACTATTACTAATCTTAGAGGAAACGCGTTGATGTTGCCATCGTGATTGGTACGGATTTAAATGTTTCGTTGTATTATGTCTATCATAATTAGAAACATTTGATTCATTCATTCCTGTATCTACCTCATTAATATTTACATTATATACATCATTATATATATCATTAGGAAAAACATTGAAAGGCGATAGATTTGCACTATTGCCGATTGCGTGGTGATTTTTATGCTCTTCATCTTTACTGCGCGGAGAGTCAATCATAGTCACCAAGTTTTCCAACCTTAGTAAGCTTGAATTTAATAAACATTTTTCTCCAGCTTTCGTTTCTACCTTTTCCGAATTTTCTAAGACCTCGTCTATTTCTAATTTAGTTTTTTGTTCAATAACGGCTACACTATCCTGATCTTGTCGTATAGTAAACATTAAACCTTCCATTACTAAATCAGTAATATTAGAGGAGCGCAAAACTTTGTCAGGTATGATTTTTTTCTCGGATTCCCTACTTTTTTGTTTACGAGTTTTGTACGACTTATTGTGCATATGATTTTCCGACTGTTTATCATCAATATCCATTGAAGTTTTAGTACATTGTCTATTATTTTCTTGGAATTCTAAATTTGTCTCATTATGATCTTCTTGGTTAATATATATAGATTTATCATTTTCTTCAATCGTTTTTGGAACACAATCTTTATCTATATTCTTTATCTCGGTCTGCAGATTCTTTTGCGGTTGATCAATAATTAAGTTGAATTTCGAATTCTTTATCTGTTTCTCAATGAAATTTTGATGTGATACATTGTTAGAATTTATATTTTCACTGATCGTCTTTTTATTATTATTTAAATTGTCTTTATTAATGATGGTGCAAGTATCATCTTTCTGTATCAATTTTTGATCAAAATTGAATTTATTTAATGAGCATTCATTGTTGCTACCTGTTATCATTCCTGTAAGAGAAGATTTTAATGAAGAAGATATTTTGTATTTCTGGATATCTTGTGTTTGTTGATTTTGCTTCTGCATTAATGCCGATTCTGTTTCTATTTCTTCATTCATTTTCTGCGTCTTTTCAATTTCATTTGTTTCATTTGTTTTTAAAGATTGTTCTTGAACACAATCGATATTTTGTTTTATGTCATATCCTTCGGTATTACAATCTATATATTTATTTTCTTGTACGTCATTATGAAATTCTTTATTATGTTTATCAACAAACTGCATTTGAGCTGTGGTATTTTCAATTCTTTTATCTAGATTCTCGCGTAAAGACGCAGACTCCATTGTATTATCTTGAAAAGAATTGATTTTTGTTTCCAATGCTTTACTTAACATCATGTCCTCAATGGCATACTTTGCATGTATTTCTCTAGTATGACATGCTGTATCCTTCCTTGAAGATTCCTTATTAGTGGCAGATATCACATCGCTAATAATTTTTTCTTCGGTGTCCAAGGAAATATTCAGATCTTTAAATGTAGTACCTGCGTCAGCTTCTTTGACAATAGGATATTTTAAATCGAATAACGAGTGTTCCAACGAAGGAAAAGTCCTTATAGTTAATACAAACGCATGTGAAAATGCTGCAGCATTCGTTCGTTGCTGAAATTTCTTTATTGCAAACATTTTATCTTGTCGAGTCCAAGATGTACAATCTGTATTTTTAATTGTATTAGAGTAAAGGAATTTATACATTAAAATAAGGACTTATTCAAGAAAAGAATATTAATCGAATATTAATAAAAAAAGGATACTGTAAGTAACAAGAAGGTGTTGCGTGCCAAATTGTTGACCTTGCGTTGGATGACATTTTATAATTTTTCGTACAATTTTTAATAATTCTCGCCCATATGAAAATTGTATGGTATTTCTAAAAATACATGTAAATAAATTTTTTTTTAATTAATAAGATAATACTAATGTCTTATTAATTATCTTACTTCACTGTACGATGATATCTAAAGATGAACTTGTATATATTCTTTTTATGACATAGCCAATAAGCACCAGGAATAGTTAGCAGAGATTCTTTTTCTTGGTCGAGCCAATCAAATTGGCTAAGGGTTCGTATATGTATTCCAGGCATTTTCTTTCGGGTAATAGATCTTGAAATAGTGGAACTAATCTTCTTGAATCCTGTCTACCAATTGATTCTTTCACAATAAATGTAAGACAATAAAGCACTCTTTGCTAAAATCATTTAAAAGTTTGAATTAGTTTATTTTTAATATAAATGCAGACATGCAAACTTACTCCTTTTATGACTTCATTGATAAATATATCTTCTATTGTATCCCATGGTAGGAATTCTATCGATGTAAATATACCAAATCCTCTTTTATTTTCGATATGTACACCTACTGATTTAACAACCAACAATGTATCTATAAAACACAATATATGTATTAAAAAATACAATCTGTTTATCTTATTATAAGATGATTTCTGTCAGAAACTTGACTTTACATTAAAAATTCAAATTTACCCTGTTTGATAGAAGTGACGAATGATTTACATTGTAATATCAAAAGACACACTGATACGATGAGAGGAACTGAAGTTCCTGACACAAACCATATAAAAAGAATTGCACAAACTAACGTTAAACATAAATTGACATTAAAATGCTTTTCACTTCGCAACGCAAAGTTTATGATGTCGACATTGGACAAATTCGAGCTTGTTTTTTCTTCTAATGTTAACTGTATTCCATTGGCATTTCTGAAGAATACTTCAGTGGTGAGCGATTGTGTTAGAAAACTCGACGACATCAATGACGATTCTATGTACAAAACATCGTGATGAATATTAAGTTCGTTTTTAATAATATACAAATAATAAAAATACAATTCCGTTAAAAAATAAACTGCTTATTCCTGGATTTTTATAACTTTTTGAAACATATTTATATGACCTAATATATCCTCACCGTTTATTATTTCAATTATATACTAAATGATCAAATGTCACAGTATTGAAAATGTTGAATTCGCATTCTTACGTAAAATATAAAAAAATCTCAACTAGAGAGAGAGAAAGAGAATAGTAATTGAACAAACACAAATATAATTCTCGACCATCTTCCTACACAGTAATATTTTCGGTTATCAGATCACTTAATG